TATGCCTATATATATGCCTATATATATTGTTTTGCCATCAGCGATTCTCTGAAAACAGCTGAAGTTTCGATGGTTATTGATTTTCTTTCTACATCGGTATTATAATCAAGACATTAAGTGCTTTCCTCAGGAAAATTTCTAATCATCTATATTCACGCGACTACAGGCGTCGTAATGGATAACGTAGTGTCGCGAACATTATGCTAAATATTCGCCGTTATGACTAATCACAATGTCGATGCTGTACTTAACATAATGGACGAAGAAAAATCAGATTATGCATTGATCGTGTAGATCAGATAATATATCGGTAAAGAATGAAATTTAGGCCTATATTCTAATTTTCCTTCATGTACTGATTTGGTCCTGACTGGATTGATTCCATTGGTGGCGCCAGGATTTGCCCGACTGGGGGTGGGGGACCGAGGTCCCCGACGGGGACGAATTGTGCTTTTTCTTCCCGACGGGGGCCCTGCCCCCCCCCCGCTGGCGCCACCCCTGATTGATTCTAGGCATTCAGGAAATACTATTATGATGTACATTATTCAACTACTACGTCAATTCATTCACAATAATTCATCATAGGCCGACTGTTAAATTAATATAAAGTAAAAGTTCATTTATTGTCTGAAAATATCTGGTGACCTGATGTTCATTATTATTGCACATATTTCTTGATGCAGAATTTTTTAACCGGGGTTGACGCGTCGAGGACCTAAAATCCAAAGGGGTGGAACGTCTAGTCAATAGAGGAAGGTTTTGGTATGTTTCCATATTTATTGAGGGGTCCATTGGGCATGCCCCTAGAAGTTTCGTAGTTCTAGCCATTTTATTCGCTTACCTAAAATGTATCTCACTTGGTTAGTTAGTTTTGGGTGTGTGGTGGCGAGCTCTCCTCTGCCACCTCCCCGGTCCGATCCACCATGAATCAAATAACATTTACCGTCAATGTAGTTAAAAACGAAGGAATCGTTTAATTGGGAAATTATTGAATTGTCAATGATGACTACGGTACTCGATACACTTAAGCCTAGAGGTTAATTAATTTTATAAAATTGAAATTGATTGGACATCATAACAATAAAGAGTAGGCCTAATAATCGTATGTTTGTACATGGTGATTCAATTTCGTAACTCAATAATGAATAATGAATTGTATATTCATTCAAGTTCGTCGGGGAGCGGGAATAATATTTCGATTGTCCTATAAATTATGTATACGTCTACATGCAATTTCTAATGTAGTGTCAATATAGAGATAATTTTCGAGCACTTGGACATAATGAGACATCACTATGCCTACCTTCGATCCTCAAAAATAGCTGAATGCCTATTTATGAAGTAATCCGTCTGCAATGACTGTTACAAATAGATTACCGTAATTACACTTTTGTGAATTTGCTGAGGTATTCAAAATAAAGAGAGGTTTCGCATAATAGACCTAAATTTTTTCGTTGAAGACCTACCGGTATGCTAGATACCATTACCATTTGTATGTTATTCACCAAGTCTCTATGCTTCAAGTTTCACAGTGCTACACAGCAAATCTGAAATTTATATACAATATAGCATAACAATAAGTACCGGTAACTAATCAGCATTCGGTATTTGAGTATTTTATTAATTCTTCGAGTTTTCTTCTCTTACATCTAAATTCATTCATTGCATAATTCTGTTTGTTTTGCAGGTATTATTTTTGATGAAATACGCACCAATTTAGGGGACATAAATATATTTATTTAAACACAAATAGACCTATATATAATATATATTAGGCCTATATAATGCAGCATAGAACTGTCAACATTTTACTATACATTTTAACGCATACTATGACCTTGTTTATTTTTTGGATTTAATTTCTGTAAAAATTACAAAAAAAAAAAAAAAAATGATCCTTCATAATGATCAAATGAATCTAAACGTTGAATTCTCAAAATATCTACCGGTATTTCCGGAGTTATTGTCTGTTTGATTTAATACCCAAATGGCCGGTTCAATTATTTCTCGATATGCAGTTGCTTAATAGCATACAATATTTTACTTCATAGAACGGCCAGCATAAATAATCAGATGGAATGAGATGTCGGATTAAGAACTGCGTTTTATTTCACATCAACTGACCGTAAAGCCTACGCATCGCTGTCATCTCAAACGTGACTCGTGCTGCAGGTGTAATTACAATGATGGCGAAGACACAGCTAGAGGGTTGGAAACAGTTAGTTTGTAAGCTGCAATCGGGATTTTAGGCATGTTATAGTACTATGAACTGAATTCTGATAGAGATGTGTTTATCAGCTATTTTAGGCATCTTTGCTTTCTTGCATTTAACTCTGGGCCTGTTGAGTTTTACCGTTGGATGCATTTCTTCCAGTCAAGCCATTGTATGGCTGGCGCATACTGTGTCACCGATCTGGAGTGGGGTTTGTGTAAGTATTTTTACGCATACAAATTCATTTTGCTAATATGTGACAATGATTTGTAACGGCTTCATAGTTAAACAGATTGAAATAACGTCAGATACACTCTATTACACAATATGTACAGCTGGAAATATATAACAGCATATAATATAAATCAAGATAGCCGTTAACACTGTTAAATTATAAATAATTTAGCGCTTTGTAACCGAAAGGAATTAAGCGCTATATAGAAGTACCAAGTAACAGTAACATGTAAATAAATCATCAAAGAAAGGTAAATACATTGTTCAATTAAAGGACATGATAATACATCGGGTAGCATAGCTCTTAACAAATGTTGTCCCATATAAAATTAAATAAATAAATGAATAGATAAATGAATAAATGGATGAATGGATGAATGAATGAATGAATGAATATAAAAATAAATAAATATAAATTAATTAATTAATTAATTAATTATTGTATAAGTAATTGTATAATAAATATCTCTGACGTTATTCGAACCTGCTAGATCTCGCTGTCAAGGCAAGCGTCATAACCACTAGTCCACAGAGGCTTTAAATTACGTCAGATACACTGAATTACACAGTAGGTACGGTTGGAAACCATTAATAGCATATAATATAAATCAGGATAATCGTTAAATTATAAATCATCAAAGGAAGGTAAATACAGTGTTCGATTAAAGGACATGAGAATACATCGTGTAGCATAGCTGTCAACGAATGTTGTCCCATAAATAAATAAAAATGTGTAATAAAATTTCTCTGACTTGATTCGATATATATATATACCATATATATATATATATGTTTGTATGTATATATATATATATATATGAATATATATATATATATATATATATATATATGTCTATATAGGCCTATATACATAGGCCTATATATAATAATAATAATAACAATAATAATAATAATAATAATAATAATGATAGTAATAATAATCACAATAATAATAATAAATGTGTTCACAAGTTCTTTTCCACGTGCTGTGTTGTTATGTTTAGCCTAATTGTAATATAGCCAAAAAGGTTTTGTGTTGCTAAAGCTTTACCGACCCAAAATTTTGATAATCTAATTGTTGATTTTTTCAAAAGTATACCTATATTGTATTTAAAGGAGCTCGAAATCAATGCATTAGTATTTAAAAAGCAAAACACTTGCAACCTTAACGGTGTATTTTAGCCTGTCGTTATATTTTACCAATCAAAATAAATTGGGTGAGTAATGGATGGTAATAAAATGAGCCCAGTATACGTAAGCTGTGTTAAATTGTTTTCCTTAATTTATTTCAGTTTATAGTTTGTGGTGTCCTCGGGTTTGTTAGTGTTCGGAAACAGACACCATACACAGTAAGTATTACTTTGTTAAAATGACCGAATGAAAGCATTGAAAGAATTAATGAATAAACGAACAAATGGGCGAATAAACGAATAGGATTTTTGGTTAATTATAGGATATCGAGGTATTAACTATAAAGCTCTTTCCAGACTATAAATTTTGTTTGACAAAAAACTGTTCCCATAGCCCAGGTGCTTAATTAATTTATTTGAAGAGCCAAATTATTTTTTCAAGATTTGATATCACTGGCCAAATAAAATCTCCGTGTTTTAAGTGACTTGCTATAATTTATGGACCTAAGGTCAAATTCTGATATGCTGTGGCCGAAGCCCCTGTTGGCAGCACAGACGTTTGAACTTCAGTTTTGTGGCAATTTCAAATTCTATTAGATTTGTTATTGCTACCGCACAATAGGACAAAACATTCATTACAATATTTGCACCATAAGATTGATGAAATATTTTGCTAAACGAAGAATTAATACGCTTTATTATTCACTATTTCTTGCTTATTGATCTTTTATTTCTTGCTTGTGCAAAATCATCGAAAAAAATTTAAAAAATAAATTTTAAAAATTGGTGGCGCCATTTTGTCCAATGGCAGGGGAGGAGCGATGTCTCAGAACATATGAAGTGGGTTTTGGGGGCTAAGCTTCCGGCTTCTAACAATCTTGAATTGAATTTTGAGTGCTTAAGGCCCGTAATCGATCTTACAGCCTCATATTCTATAAAAAGCTACATATGATTTTCCCCTAACTGTTGAGTTCTTCTTTGAGAAAGCTCTATTTGACGGGAATCTGCATCCGCAACTGGCACCATCACTTAAATTCAATTCTTGCAAAATTAGAGTTTGTTGGGAACTGATGGTTTTAAGTACTTAACATGTTTAGTGGTATAGTGCCGCAGGCAAAGCAGTCCTTGAATAGTTGCATAGACCTAATAATAAGCAGGCTTATACAGATTTGATATTTTTTTTTAAATAAAGCATATTTTCATATGCCAAAATATTTTGCAGGGTCACTGATGTTTAATGTTGTCGGTGACAGGTAATAAAACATGCCATGTCTTCCTTTCTACGTAGTGCAAGTATAACTGTGTGCGAAGTATCGTTTCCTGAATTGTTTTTCCCCTACTGAGTAAAACTAGATTTTTTTTTTTTATTATTATATTGACCTTGATTCTTACGCCTAACCAAATATTGTTACCTGCTCGGACGTCCATACAACAACAACTCCGTAGTAATAGTAATCCTGTAGAATTGTTTTCAAACCAAACAATGTTACAGGCATAATCGTGGCAAAAAACAGTAATATTTTGTTAACAGTCATACCATGGTCATAAAAAATAACTTAATAACTTAATAGTTTGGAAGATAATCGGTGTTTTCTGTGTAATTTCAATCATCCTATATCCACCAAATATCAGGGCTTTAAAGCCTAAAAACTATTAAGAATCAGAGATATATAGGCCTTAGTCATGGTGTGCCTATATTATATGGCCATGATGTGATGTTATCGTCACCAAATTTAGGCATGTCACATGTTTTTGTCAAATAATATTTGATAATCTGGACAGGGGCTTTAGAATATCCAAACCATGCTGCAATATCGTTTGCAAAGTTGGTTACTGGAGCGGTTGGCGCGAATGTAGGTAAGAATGGACCCGGAAAAATGGCCCAGGAAAAAATGGCCCCAGAAAAAATGGCAACGGTAAAAATGGCCCCAATAAAAAAATTCAGTAATAGAAATGATTTTATTTTAAATCTTCAAATACTGTAATAAGCAAGAATTGAATCAATAACAAATACAGTTACACAACAGATGCAGATAATGTACTGAGAGATTATCAGAAAACAACGCCATTGAACATTTTTTGATAGTTGAAATAAGTTTCAAAAACGTTATTCCACTAACAAAGTAGAGGAATGACATAATGTACATACAGTACTTCAACTACCAAAATATGCAACTCATAGATAACCAGAAAATTAACTTTTGCTAAGTACCAAATGAAATAACTTTACATGTTATAAACAGTGCAAATAAACAGTAGTTAAAGCATGTGGATCAATAGTGTGTTTGAATCACAAGTTCATGTATGGGAAAAGGGAGGCTTACTTTACTTCAACAAATGTTCTGCTTAGAGTTACTTCAAAGAAGTATTTGTTAATCAAATATTGTTTTTAAAGTAAACTGAATAATTAGGAATACATTTATTTAAGCAACATATTTAATTGCATACTTGGTTTCTACTCCCCGCCAAGTAAATTTAAGTGCCTAAAACTATACTAAATAATGTACACTGAGATACTATATTATATACATAGTTATGTAAATATGGCAATTATGCTAAGAATTAAAATTGCGTGTAATTGTGAGGGTAAAGTAATTATGGTAGGATCAAATGGTATTGCTAAATCCCAAAAACATCCTAAAACAACAAAACAATTCAATTGTGATTGACTCACTTGGTATATCAATAAGAAAATTAAATATTTATAAAAACCTATTTTTTGGTTAAAATGTTGATTTTTTTGTGAAAAAAATACTTGCAAATACACCACTATCCTCCAAAGACACTGCGAACCCCATCCAAACCCTTTAATTACGATTGTAGAACTCTGTTTTTATTTAAAAAAAAAAAAATAAAAAAAAAATAAAAAAAAATTTGATGTTCATATAAACTCATTGTTTGTGGGGTTTACCAATACCCAGATTGAATTTCTTGAAAATTGTGATTCCGCTTCCTTTAAATTGGCCACAAATAAATTATTTTAGTATAATAAATGCATGATTTATGTTGATTTATTGATTACGTTGTTGATATTTTTTAACATTTAAATGGAAAACAATAAAAAGTGTTATTCATTGCCTTTTTTATCTTTGAATATTTTATCATTGAATAAATGTAATTTCTTCAAAAAGTAAAATGTAAATAGCGATTTATTTGATGTTAGATTCCTTTTAAAAACTAAATTATTTCAGTTTAAAAAAATGCATATAATGATTTTTTTTAAATCAGTTTTAATACAGAATTTTATTATTGGGGCCATATTTACCTAACTGTTATTTGGGGCCCATTTTAACGGGGCCACTTTTTCCGAGGCCATTTTTTCCTGGGCCATTTTTTTGGGGCCATTCTTACCGTACACCGTTGGTGCAATG